GCAGCAGAGAGATCAAGGAGGATGAGGAGGCAGAGGGAGCCCTGGTCGCAGATGGATAGAATGTCACTTTGACCAGGGCTGTTTCTGTACTGTGAGCGGCACGGAAGCCCGATTGGAGGGGTTCGAGAAGGGAGTGGTAGGAGAGGAGGGAGCATAGCTGAGAAGCAACAACTCGTTCCAGAACCTTGGAGACGAAGAGGAGGTTTGAAATGGGGCAGTCCTGGGCATCCCAAGAAGATGCCTGGGCTTTAAGGGAGCGGAGGTGGCTGGTGTACCAAGGTGATTTGCGTGTGTAGGAGACAGTTCGGGAAGAGACGGGAGCGAGGGAATTGAGAGTGGAGGAGAGGGAGCTGTGGAGAAGAGTGACCGAGGAGGATAGGTCATTGCAGGAGGACAACCAGAGGGGAACGCAATAGCGAAAAGTGCAATATTAAATGTAAGATTATTGTTGTCAATTTTATGTAAAAGTCAATGCAAGGTCAAGTCAGTCAGAAGAGGGTTCACAAGAGAGGTTCTGAATGATGTCTTCAGCCCTTTTACTGAACATTGCCAGAACACCAACCCTTCCATCTTCCATCGAGCAGTTTATTAAATGTGGACTCCAGCATTCTGGTCTCAACCGCCATTCTTGTACCCTGTTACAGTCATTAATTGCCCTCTGTGTAATGAAATACTTCCTGGCATCTTTCCTGAAATTTCCCTTAGCATCCCTGTTATTTTCTGTTGATGAGGGATTGTATTCTAAGAGGTTGATATTGACAATAATAAAAGGCAATGCTTCTCTTTGTGACTTATAATGGGTCCATTGAAAGCTGAGTGTGTCAAACTGAAATCAATGCAGGAGCATGTATAAGTAACAACAGAGTAAATCAGTTGTGAGATACTGAAACTTAGTCAGCGAGATTTAGTCTGCTAAGGAGCTCCATTCAGGTCTCTTCCGTGCTCTTTAATTCTCTGCTTTACTCTGCATTGTAGAATCTTTTCCTCACAAAAAGGTTAGTGCAGTGAATTGAGATAGAAATTGTTTCTACATCATTTCCAACTCATTTTGATAGCAGTGTAATCGGTATCTTTAGTGCATCATGACTCTGAAGTGGAACCGTAAAACGCTCTTGTCTTCAATTGATTTAAGGTACTCATGGGATATAATCAGCATAGTGTGTGGTAGCTGTGAATAGACTGAGGGCTCAATTTGTATCATGAGAACATGCTGGCTTCCTATTTTTTTGTGTGCTCTAAGGTTGCAAGCTTGGATAGCAAATTAGAGGGCAGCTAATATATTGGAGAAATCATGTTTGTCTGCTACCGAAGTGTCTAAAATTTTAATTTTGCAAGCAATGCATGCATTCTTTTAAAATCTCTATATTGCTAGCAAAGAGCTTTGCAGCCTTGCAGCCAGTTCACCCTTCAGATTGCTCTGTGATATGGTTGGAGTGGAGAGACTGTTGTTCTAACAAAACAGATTACATTTCCAGAAGCCTTTTAATTTCTGTCTAGTATCTAGGTCAGAATCCTATTGCAATTCAGCTTCATTGTGCAGAGATACGTGAGGAGTTTTCTTCAATGCCATTAATTTTTCACCCTGGTGCTACTCTATTGGACCTTTTGTTCTGACTGGTATTGAAGCAGTCAAGTGCTGTAGACAGACAAACCTTTAATATTATTGCAAGACCACTAGTTTATTTTATTAGGACTGTATTCTCATAGTTTTATGCTCGTCTGGTGCAGTTAAATTATAAATACTGAACTTTGATCTGCTGTCACTTTATAAATACTGATTTCTTTCATAATAGTGGATTACATAATAAATGTTTAATGATTAACCGGTTCGGACTGCTAGACTTTAACTTCTGGATCTGATTTGAATCTAGCTCACAGATTGAAAATCTGCTGGCTGAATTCAGGCATGTAACATGTGAAGGACTCTGAAAGTGATTCACAGGATTTAATATAAAGTGTAGTTACTGAGTATTTTGTAGGCAAATATGGCAGCCAATTTGCACATAGCAATGTCCCACAAACATTTATGAGTGAAGGATCAATTTTATCTGAGGGATTGTTGGTCAGGACACGAGGAGAAACTTCCTTCTCTTTTCAAATAGTGCCATTGGATCTTTAATGCTTATCTGAACTAGCAGCTTGGTTTAACAGTTTGGAAGTGTCAGCCTGGATTATATGAGCTCAAACTCCCAGTTTGGGCTTGAACACACACAGCCTTCTGGCAAGAGTGCTACCAAATAAGCCAAACTGACATACTGTTACGTTTGAGCTCTCACAGGTACTGTTTGCTAATGCAGTCAAAAGTTTTGTTCTGTATTTCTAATGCAACGTAAGGGTTACTTTATGCATAAAATGAAAACCCGGATATTTGTGTGTGCGCGCAAGGGGTGGGGGTTGGGGGGGGGTGGGGGGCGCAGTGGTGATTGTCAAGAAAGGAGAAAATCTAAAGGAAAATTGATGCAAAATCACAGTGAAAAGAAGTAAAAATCTTCCATTGATTTATGTTTTCTGTGAATATCAAATGCAAAATACATGGATTATTTTTATGTTAATCAGAAAACACTAACATCTTTCACAACATAATCTAAATAACTACTTCACTCTTGCAAACAATAAATACGAGTGATTCTGGTAGCAAGTAACCTACTTAGATGCCAAGATCACGTCCTGAAGCACATATGTACAAATAGGCCTCTACTCTGAGTTCATCTGTGTCCAATCACAGGGTTCTTTAATACCTATCTGAACAGACCTTCAGGACCTCGGTTTACTGTCTCATATGAAGGAAGGAATCTTTAGCCTTGTAGTGGAGGGTTTTCCTAAGCACTGCATTGGAGTATCACCCTGGATTATGCGTTCATAGTCCCAGTGTCTCATAGACATGGGGTCAACTTCCACAGTGTGCGGATGACACCCAACTCTATCTTTCTGCCTCCATCCTCAACTCCAGGACCACTGCTGTCCTGACAGACTGCCTGTCGGACATCAAGTCCTAGATGAAGGAAAAATTCCTACAGCTGAATGTGAATGAGACTGAGGCCCTCCTGATTGACTCGCACCAGCGCCTCAGCACCTCAGGCTCTGGCAACATCAACCTCCATGGTTGCACACGTCAACTCACCACCAGTCAGGAACCTCGGTGTCTTGTTCGACCCTCAACTGTCTTTTCTCCCCCACATTCAAGTCATGACCCGCTCTGCCTTCCCTCACCTCCGTAACATCACCCGACTCCACCACTACCTCACCCCTCAGGCCACTGAAACTTTTGTTCATGCCTTCATCACATCCAGGCTCGACTATGCAAACGCCGTGCTTGTCAGCCTTCCCAGATTTATGCTTAAAGATTGTTAAAAAAAATTTTTTTACCATTTTTATAAATAATCTTTTATTTTGGTGAAAGTCATGATAAATACACAGTGTCACATTAGATCCGCACTCCCAAAGTTGGCAGTGCATAGATAAGGCCAAAGGGTGTCACATCACTTTGCATCACATGTGTGTTTTCAGTGTGTGCGCTGAATGGCTGCCTATGGAAACCGGGTGTCTGACAAATGCGGAAGCCCATCACCATTCTTAAGAATATCCAAACCAAACTGAAAATTCCATTCGTCCCACATACACATGGAAATTCCCTATATTGGAATGGAATTCCAGAGAGTATTAGGCGCAAGCTGGCAAGAGCTAAGACTTAGCTTCCCCAGAGTGTTCATTGAGGTAATGCTGCAGTCCAACCAGTTAAAACTGCATAGCTTGCCATTGAGAGCACTGTGGCAAGCTTTCCTGATGCTTGTCCAGCTAAAACCTCCCTATCCGTTAGGACTTTTGCTTGTAGGTTAACAAGAGCTAAGTGCAAAGATTCCTGCCTCCAGTGCCTGGTCTCCCCCTCCAAGTCCAACCGATGAGCCAGGTTGACTGGGCTATCATCAGCAGCACCCTAGAATACTCCAGTCACTCCTAGCTTAGGAACTGGACGACCAAGACCGCCACAGAGGGTTGACTCGATTCTGACATTCCATTGCCAAATATGGCACCTTACAGCAAATTCAGCAACAAGGAGACCACGCTTACCTGGAAATAGTCACTAGTTGGTAGGGAAGTAATTAATTCATTTATTGTAAAACCTCCACAAATCACGAGCTGTATCTTATCCAAAGCTTCTCACATCCTCACCTGCACCAAACTCTGCATATCCTTCACTCCAGTCTCCACCAGTCTCCATTCTCTCCCTGTATCCAAGTGGATTCATTTTCAAGATCCTTCCCTTCAAATCCACCTACTCTGCTCCTCGACTTGCCCCCTCCTCTACTCAGCTAACTCAGGTTCTCTGCATGTCTCCTATTTTCTCTGCACAGCCACTGGTGGCTGAGCTTTTTGTTCCTTCGCCCCTATTCTTTGGAATTCCCTCTTTCTACCATTCTGTCTCAACACCTTTCCTTCTATCTTTATGTCCTGCCTCAAATCCTACCTCTTCAAAGGTGCCTTTGGCCACCTCTCCATCCCCTCTCCCTTGGTATCCAACCCCAATAAAATGTTTTATAAAATCTGATATTCTCAATGTGCAGGAGAGAAGAAATGAAAAATCGTTGATTTTTCTTTTCAAAGTTAGATTGTTTAGGATTAACAAAATACGAGTGAATCTCAAGTTATGACTTTCTGAATGCTTCCCTGCTAGTGATGAGAGGGAGAATACATTAGTTTTTCTCTCCTCGATGAACCTTCTTGAGCCTTGATGTTGTAATAATAATACTTGCATTTGATGCAGCACCTTATCACGTCGTTGAGACGTCTCAAAACGCTTCACAGAATATACTGTAAAGTGGATTGACTCTGTATTTTGTAGCCTCCTCTTGTCTGTATGGAGGCAGCCCTGCCTGTTGAGTAGCAGCCAGTGCTTGTGCAGTGTCTGGCTGCCACAGTTGCGTAGATCGGAGAGGGGGAAAGAAAACGAGGTCAGCTGATTGAAGCAGATATTTATTCAGTGGAAACTGTTTGTGTTGCAGGGCCGAGCATCTGTATGTCTTCTTTGTGCAGTGGTCCCCAGACATGTATGGGGACGAAACTGGAGAGCTGGTAAAGGAACCTGGATTTATGGTCGTGGCGAAGAATGAGGAGTCTGAAATGAATGAGGAATCCATAAATGAATTGACAGCAAAAGACTGGGAGGTAAGGATGTTTCTGCTCCAGGCCCACTCTGCTATTGCAAGCTTGTTTTTTCCTTAGCTATCTTTTTATATATGTTTGGTTTATTTTTTGAATTAAAAAAACTATGGACATTTTTGTTTCCTTAATTATAACAGTGTAGAATGCAATGTGATGACTCGTGTAAATGTCAAACCAAAGATTACTCTGTCTGCATTTCTTTAATATCCGTGCGCTCTGTTATGAAACTTGTTTTAGCCTCCCTTTCTGAACTTTTTGTTTCCTGCACATGAATGCTTAACCCGTTGCTGACCATAAGTCCCTTCAGTGATTGTGTGCATCTGTTTCTGTTGTTGTCTGCTCTCATAAGTGCCTCCTCGCATGTGGCAGTAGATAAGTGTTGAACCTGTGCAATATTCATTAATCTAATGGTGTACATATCCATAGTTTATTGTAAGGTAGCAGTGCAAGATGTGCTGTTTTGTTTTGCAATACATGCAGCTTTAGACAAATGGATGTCTTTTGTTGGGGAGGGAGGGAAAGAGATGGAAAGGTTAGAGCTATGCTATAATACTCTGAAGCCAAGCAGTGGTGGAAATTCCAAATTGGGCATTGTTGGTTGTTATTCCAGTGATGAATGTTTGGGTTCAGTCAAACCTTAAGTTCACTTGCAAAAGGACTGACTTTACATACAAAGAAAACTATTTTAAAGAATACAGTTGGTTGTATTTAATTGTCAGTAATCCTGCATCTTATATTGATCTATTAATCTTAAAAATGTAGCAATATTAAGAGCATTTTTGATACAACTATCCTCCTATGTTCATGAATTTCTTAAGAAATCTAAGGATAATACAAGCCAGTTTGTAGTTTAATTCTGAGAACGTATCGCAGTACTTATTTTGCTGGAAACCCAAAATTCTTTTGGCAGGGATAACAGTTTTCTATTCCTTAAAAAGATGTTTTCATAGTAAAAGTAAACTGATTTTCAATCTATTGCTCCCTGCCCTGTTGTTCAATTAAAATTGGGCTTCCTGTTTCTTACACCCCCAGAATCCTCTATTAATTTTGTGTGTGATTGTTGCATATATCAATGACTCAAAGCACTTTTACAATTCACCAATGATCTATGTAAGGTTAAATGGCTTATTTTAACCTTAGTCAACTGCTAATAAGATGCAACCTAACCTGATTTTTGATCAGTTTTATTGACAAAAATTCCAATTGCTTAGAAACATTCAAAGCACACTATGTTGTCACATAAATATGCACATATTCCTTCATTATATCACATTCTTACTATGAACAAACCTCAAATGCGTTACCTTACATTGTTCCACATTAAAGTTCATCCCTCATCTTTTAACCCATCAGCTTAATTGGTCTTTCCATATTTTCTTGGATTCAGCTCATGAGTCATTTTCCCACTTAGATTAAATAGCTTAATGGTGTAACAGGAAGACAGTAAGGTAGCTAATTCTGGAATGGTGCAATCAAATTGGCCAAGGAGCCTTCCTTCTTAATGCAAGCATCACTGTGATAGTGATGACTGGTGTCATCATTAAATCTTAAAATATTACATGAAATACTCTCCAATTCATTTATTAACAGCATGAACAGCAGATTTTAAAGTCGACCTAATGCTTCATACTTAGCCCTATTGAAGGCTCTGAATGGTTTTATTTTAAATCTCATGGTTTCGATGCAGATCTGCACAGATGAGGTTGGTTTGCGTATCCAAACATGAACCACATCCAATTTAAAGCTTTGACAGTATGCTGGTCAGGGTGTTAAGTTATATTTTGTGCCCTCTTGTCCACTGACCTTCAACAAGTTTAAACATAATGTCAGTCTGATTCATTAGTTTGATTTTGTACCTCTTGTGAATCTTAAATGACTTGTTCAGATATCCTTTCCAGATGAGGGTGTATAAATGCAGCTAACAAACCACTTTGCTCTCTCAGTAATGGAACACTGTTTCTCAAGTCACAATTCAAGCAGTGTCCTGTGCAGACACATTTACATTTTGTACATATTATATATGTTTGCAGGACGTGGAATGCTTTTCACATTCAAATTTATCATCGATCACAGCAAATTTGTGTTTGTGAGTAATAATCAGGTCATCTTATGGAAAATTTGGGCATATAATAAGACTAGACAGAGGTTACATACATATTAAGGCCGGCAGAGATTCTCACTGAGAGGGACTGTAATCTAAGATAGGAATTGAGCTTGCTCATTCTAGCAGTCTTGGGAATTTTTGTGTGCATCACAACGTGTTTAATCAATGACATTCATTGTCCTTGATTAAAGACCATGGCGTGAGATTGAATACATTATTCCAATCTGATGCATCTAGCAATGGCAAAATGATTCTCTGAAGATGATTGTCATTGTTTCCGTCCAATATAAGTAATAATCCTTACATTTGGTATAGCACTTTTCATGTTGGATGACATCCCAAAGACCTTCATTGGATATACGGCAAAGGACTTTGTGTATTGTGGGTGATTGTGGCTGAAAACAGCAGCCAATTAGTACACAGCAATATCCTACAAACAGTCATGAAATGAATCACCAATTTTATTTGGGGGATTGTTGTCCCTTCTCTTCAACTAAATACTAAAACGTAATCCCCATATTGGGATCCCAACTCATACTCTACTGCAGTGCTGGATTGTTGGAAATGCCATCCTTTCAATAAGGTATTAAACTCGAGGCTTACTTGCCTATTCAACTGGATGTTAAAAAACCCCAAACACTTTTTCAAAAGAGAAAAGGAAAGTGAGTTTCTTCCAAGTTCCTGTTCATCAATTCTTCAGATTATTCGCTGTTTGCTGTGCACAAAATAGCTGCTACCTTTGCTTTAATAGTAATTACTTTGAGATGTTTTAATGTGACAGCACTACAAAAAACACAAGCTCCTTTCTTTATCAAGTTGGGTAAAGTGTGTTCATGACTGACCACTGAATGAGCTAATCAACACACCTTATCTTCAGTGGAGGAATGGATCACAAATTAGCCTAGACAACCAACTAGGGAGATGTTTTGATTGATGACCATCTGAATGGCAGCCAAAATGTGACATAAAAGATTCTTTCAAAGCTTGTTTTATTGCATCCATAGTCAAGGCATAAAATGGATAGGTGAGCTCCAGAAAGACTTTAAATATTAATACTAACTCATAAAGCAGTGAACTGAACTGTCTGATTGATTAATTGGCTTAAACTTTAAACTCTCGAGTGCCCAGGTTTTATAAACTTCTTCCTCTTCATTTTAAGCGTACTGCCTTGCACTTTCAGCTCTCCATCATTTTGGGATCTGTGTATTTTTAGGAAATATGAGGGATTAGAGACATGAGGTGAAGGAGTTATTGTCATCCTATGTCTAAGGCATGGGGCCTCAAGGGGATATAAAGGTAAGATATAGAAAACTGCAGCAGAAAAAGGGTAAAAAAAGCAACCACTAGAAGAAAGAAATATCTTAAAAGTAAAACAATAGTTGAAATAACTTACTGAAAATACAATAATTTTCATTTATGTAGCACCGTTCAGGTACAGTAACTTCTCAGAGATTTAGGAAGCCTTTTATTGTCTGAAAGCAAAGGGAAATACTAGTGGTCTTTTTAAACTAGATCTGCATTTAATGAGAATTTTATGTCATTCAATGTTTCTTAGAACCAATAATGTCCCTGGTCCAAATATTCCAAATCATATCTCCACAAATTAATCCAAAATTAATATCTAACAATAATTGATCTTTTCCAAGTGAAACAGTTATCGGATAATATTTTACACCAGTCCAATTTGTACTTTCTATTAAAAAAAAGAAAGGTCGAGACCATTAACTACATGTATTTGTAATATACACAGGTACCAAAAAGATCTGTTTTGTGGGGTTGGAAAAATATATAATTTTTCATATCTTTGTTGCATGTAGCCACCCTCATATCTCATTTAAGGTGCATGCAAAATATATGAGATTTAATAGATGTTATTTTGAACCATATCTACAAACTAGACAAAACAGTAAGCAGGAATTTGCTGAATAACTAAATAACTGCATCAGTAATCTAGAGCCATTAAACACATGTTACACAGGGACGAATTAAATCTAAATTGTGCATCTAGTATTATTGTTGCAACTTCATTGTGTCTCATCTCCATGAGGATAGAACCCTAGATTTCTTTTATTAAAAATAACCTTGATGTTTTGATGGGAGGACAGTGGGGTGGATACTGTGGAAGGATTAGAGCCCTGTTCATCCGAACTAAATTGATGATGTTGTGGTTAAATGTGCTGTGCTCCAAGGAGTCTCGATTACCATTAGTCTTGGGAGTTGGCTGTGGACCAAAGTGGATTGAATAATGAATTCCTTATCAGTGGAAATGCTCTCAGTGGTTCAGATTGGGTGGGACATGACAGACTGTTTATCTTGATTATTCAATTAACTGGACTAGAAATGTTGATTGACAAAGTACACTGAAGCAAAAGTTTAATTGAGTACTTTTTATACTTTGTCCATGTTTGGAGTACTTTGAACATGTAATGGTGGTTTGTTTTGTATTGTGTTTTTCATTGGAGTTATTAGTACTGCCAAACACATCACTTTTATTAAAAGGAAGTCATTGTTAAAACAGAGATTTCTGGATAATAAAAAGTGTCCCAAGAACTACAATATTGGGTTGCCTCAAACAAGCCCTCTTTTTCAGAAGTGCCATCGTTGGCAGACCCACAATCTAAAACTGTAAAATAGCATGGTTCTGCTGCTAATGTGCTGCTTAAACTATGTACACGTTCTGATAAAAGCATCTCTGTGCAACAGGATATTACTGTTAGGTTTATGAGTGTGACAATGGATCTAATTTGAAGTATTTATTAATAGGTTCCTTAATAAGGAATCTGAGTCGCGCAAATGGAATCCGCATACAGGACCGGAAGTGCATGAACTCTTCCTATGCAGTGGAATATGACCTACTTCCAAAGTGGAATTCTTGTGGATCAATAGATGCTTTAAAGAA